AATTCATAAAGTTGAGGTATGGTAACTAAAGAGTTAAGTTTGTTTATTCTGGTTTCATTACTATTGCCAGACACTCGAAATATTACTTTATGTTCTTGGATGTTATCAACTGGAAACAATGGGAATAAAGCACTCGAAGGTCAAAAGCCCACATAATTAGAGGAAATCAATTAGAAATGTGGTTAAATAATGTCACTGCTGAAGTACTTTTCCTTGGCCAAATAAAATAAAGAAAAAAACCCAAGAAATAATTCCAGCTTTCCAACTTCCATCATACTTGTTTAAAGCCCACTCATCCATGTGATGTTTTCAGGGACTTTTGATATTTTCAGGTGTTTTGCACACAGAAGGGTGAGGTCTGTTGGAACTGTTGGAGCAAGTCCAGAGGAGGACACAAAGTTGATGAGAGGACTGGAGCATCTCCCCTATGAGGACAGGCTGAGGGAGCTCGGGCTGTTCAGCCTGGAGAAGAGAAGACTGCATGGAGACCTCAGAGCAACTTTTCAGTATCTGAAGGGGCTACAAGGGAGCTCTGTGTTAGGAGCTGCAATGACAGGACAAGGGGTAATGGGTTCAAACTGATGGAGGGAAAGTCTAGGTTGGATGTGAGAAAAATGTTTTTTACTCTAAGGGTGGTGAGATACTGGCACAGGTTGCTCAGGGATGTGGTGGCTGCTCTGACCCTGGCAGTGTTCAAGACCAGGGTGGATGAAGCCTTGAGCAACCTGATCTAGTGAGGAGGTGTCCCTGCCCATGGCAGGGGGTTGGGACTAGATGATCTGTAAGGTCCAACCCAACCCCTAAATTCTATGATTCTATGACTATGACTAAGCACCAAATTTTGTTTTGATTATGTCTGAAAACCAGGAGATAGCAGAGGCTGGGACAGAGGCTGGGATTGCCTCCCCAGAACCGGCAGCCTGAGACATGGAAGTCTGTTCTGCCCATGCACAAACCCAATGGTGTGAGCTGCCACCTTGGTTCCCAGCTGCCAGTTCCACTAAATTCTATGATTCTATGACTATGACTAAGCACCAAATTTTGTTTTGATTATGTCTGAAAACCAGGAGATAGCAGAGGCTGGGACAGAGGCTGGGATTGCCTCCCCAGAACCGGCAGCCTGAGACATGGAAGTCTGTTCTGCCCATGCACAAACCCAATGGTGTGAGCTGCCACCTTGGTTCCCAGCTGCCAGTTCCAGCCAGATGTGCACAACGCAGCCTGAGCTGCTGCTGCTGCAGGGGATGCAGCTTGTCAGCAATGGCTCACATCCACACACCTTGCCAGCTGCCAGCCAGGCAGATTTTTGGCAATGCAGTTATTTTTGCTGATGACATGGTGACTTCACTGACACAACTCAAGGAGCCTCACACTGGATACTGTCCTGTGTGTGTCTGAAACACCACGTGTGTGTTTGCATTTTGTTGCATGAAGTCTGGCACAAACTGTGAGATTGAACATGTATTAGGCAAGGAAGCTGAGTATCCTGAAACACTATGCCTCTGCCATTACACACTGTCAGATCTTCTTTCATTGCCTTTGGGATGTTAAAGTACAGAAAAGCTGAACCAGTCTCCCGATTAACCAATGCATGCAACCTATCTCAAGTCATTGCGGACTGGCAGACACGACTGAGAATCTCTGTGCTTTTTCTTAAGAGTGCTGGAAATGCAACCTAAAATAATAAGCAAGAAGTGTGTCTTCCTTGGGAAATCCGTATTTTGTGCCTTGTTGATGCAAAGGGTCCAGCACTGTTATAAGCATCCTGGCCCCAATCCAGCAAAACACTTCAGCACACACTTTCCTTCAGGTACACATTTACATTAATACCATCATGTTCCACTGGCACCAGATTGTGATCCTAATATTTACCCATCCTTCACGGAATATCTTCATTAAGTTATTTCTACAAACATGTTAGCTAACAGCCTGTTCATTTTTAAGTGCATTTTGCAAACAGGCAGACTTTTCTGTATAGTTACGCTAACGAAGGACAACTCTTTCAGCACAGGAACAGTCACGTAGACAGCTGCGTTTCACACTACAAAGACTCAAGAGCTCATATCTGAATGTACCAAGCATAACTTCACCCTCATGATTGGGCCAACATGTGTTTAAATGTTTGCAGAATCAGGCCTGATGTTCTTTCCCTGGTTTAACTTTTATAAAGTATTGCCAGATGAGATAGATTTTGCACTCAGGCTACCCCTGGAAAAATATGTTAGCTCTCAAAGGCTTTATTATAAGATCCTGGAGTTTTCACGGCTAAGGAGAAACAGGGCAGGGGAAGGGCGGGGGGCAGAGGGGAGAGACAGATGAATAGACAGAGGCATTATTCTATAAATTAAAATTTATGTGCTGAAATCAGAACACTGCCAGCAAAGCCAGCTTCATTTCTCCAGCCCCTTTCAAGGAGTTTAAAGTCACTTGAAAGAGCATTTCCCTCAGTCGCACTCGACAGATTGCCAATTACAGCCCTGCTGAGAGGATGGAATTTCTTTGGAGTCACAACTGTACATCTGCCCTGGCAGTAACAGGCGAGGTACATGCCTTTTGATTAGGTTACCAAAAAAATCTCCAAACTGGAAAGCTTTGTTTCCACACATCAAAATTTATTTGGTATCAAAAAAAAAAAAAAAAAAAAGGAAAGAGATAAGCTTGTGTTTACATCAATTCACAAATTCAGAGGTTAATTGCTTCTAAGCATGAAGGTCAAAAGGACACCTAAACAAGGATCCTACTTAAGGAAAACACATGTTTGTAAATGCGATACAAAGAGCTCTCAAAGGTATTACGGGGAGATACAGCATCACCCATGCTGGGTATATCTGTGCAACCCAGCACTGACTGAATAGTGCTGTCAGACATACAGTGGTAGTCTGAAAACCTACAGGAAAAATTTGTGAGAGAAGCAAAATATCTCTAGGACAGCTTCAGTTTAAAAGTTAAGCATCTGATCTAAGTTAGTCAGCTAGACTCCACCTATAACCAACAGGAGCCTCCAGTATGTCATTTATCCCACCTACCTGAAAAAACACCTCCCAGGAGGAAGCCTGAACCACGCCGTGAAGATGCTGATCTCTCTTGACTATAGAGAGACACTAGACTTGTAGTATACACCAACTGTTGGATCACTTAAATTTGGTGAGATTAAGCCCATCCCATAGGATTTATTGTCTTCAACATTTTGTGTCGAGGATAACAATATTAGCACTATGCATTGCACAAGAGGAATAGCCATGTGTTTAAAATCCATCTTCGAGAGGTTACAAATACTTCAGTCCTAGATGTAGTCCTTTAACTTCACTACAAGTATGCTTCAGCTGAAAATGAAGCAAACACTTAAGGGCCCCTGAGCTCACATCCTTACCTCTGGGCAGTATGCAACTGCTCCTGCGGGTTCAGCTGCACAACGACACATCTTCCCAGTGCTACCACGTCTAACTTACAGCATGGGCTGCTAAAGGGCAAATACTGAGTGCTTGGAAAACACACCATCACCTGACATAGGTGCTCACCTTCCTGCAGATGGGATGAACTCTGTGTCGTGGAGCTTGACTGGCTCTGCTGCAGAAGTACTGCTCCTCCCTCCACAGAGCCAGAGGGGGAAGTTCTGCTCCCACAGGACTTTACTGTCTGCTTCTTAAAAATGCTGTAATCTTCTTAACTTTTACAAATGTTTTAACTCAGTAAAAGCTATTTAAAGTAAGGATGAGAAGGGCAATTGGTCAAAGGACCACAGCATGCTTAAGCTTTTTTCCTTCTGAGTTCCTGTGCACATTTGAAGTAACTTTTGTTCCATTTGCAACCCACATGCTGACACAGCATCCCTCCCCTTTTCTGTTCCCAGATCCTTTTATGAATTTATTCAATAAAAAGACAGATATTCATCTCTTTTCAAGGACAAGAACATGCTTTTGAATAACTCAATATGCGATACTGTAACAGTACGCCAAGACAGCTCTTGTTTTAATCAGTCGTATCAACTCTCAGAGCAGAGCTGCCATGCACATATCATCACCTTCTGCATTTACCTCACCGGGATGTAAATATACAGGGCTAAATTCAGGCTGCCTGTTCTGCATGTAGGAAAAGAGGCAATCCCCAGGGACAAGGCTGCCCAGCCCAGGTCTCTTTGAACCACTGGAATCCACATCCCAGGTTCACCATGTAGCTGCAACAGACCTTTAGACTGGTGTCTTTTGGCACATACCCGGCCTGAATCTCCCAGCTAGTGCTGGGATGTTACTTGAGGAAGGAAGGAAGGAGAAGGAGGTTATACTGCAGAGTGACACTCTGTAAATATATAAACAAAACTGGCAAATCAGGGAGGAATGCCCTGGCTTCCTGCTCCTGGCTGTAAGACCAGGGAGCAGCTCCAGGAGGCAGGAATTAGAAGGCTTCCCAGCTGTGTCCCAGGAAGAAAGCAGTTAAGAGAGGGAAGACAGGATAAGTAAACAGGAAGGATAAGCCAGCAACCAGACTGCCAGGAAAGTGTGTGGAGGTAGACAGGAAGCAGACACTGGGATTCAGGGAGAAAAGCAGCAAGGACAGAGTTAGCAACACTAACTGGCAGGTAAGGGACGACCAAAGTCCTAGAGCAGATAAGACTGGTCTTATGCATTCCAGGGAAAATAAAGCATACAAGGACTGGTTGAGGGGCAGGGAATAGAAACAGACATCAGGTTCACTAGTACGGGTGAAATGAAACTGAGCAGTCCAATAGAAACAAAGAGATGAGGTAATGCATACAACAATTTCCCACCTGCCACAGACACAGTGCTTAACTCACACAAGAAGAAGCTCTTCCAAGCAAAGAGTTATGCGTCTGTGAAACACTGGTAGTTCAGAGGGAAGGTAGTGCTCAAAGCAGTCTCGTTGGTAAGGGATGGGTTACACTAGGAGTAGGAGTTTGTTTGGTGCACAGTCTCAAGACACATGAACATCAGGTCTGCAAGAACATAATAGAGCAGTCAGGGAGGAAAATCACATTCACTAACCTTCATATATGGTGATGATATGAGGGTGGCTGAGGGATGACATGATCTCAATCTCCCGTCTGATGTGAACCATATCTTGTTCATCCTTAATTTTGTCCTTACGAATGGATTTTATTGCAACCTATAAATTCAGGAAATCAAGCATTATTCTTGGAACTGAACAGATGCATCTAATCCATTAAGAAGAGTTCAAAAAATAAATACAGATGTTAGATGTTGGCAGAATGTGGACTGACCAAAACAAAGCTTTAAAATACAAACCTCCACGCCCCAGCTCCTTCATTTTACAGCAATAAATACACTCTCATTGCAGTAATGGGTGACATGAAGTTTTAGGGTTTTCAGGTCTTAGGACTTCACTGAGGGCAAACACAGCATCTTTTGGAAGGATCCCTGTGCTAGCCTAAGCATGCTCCTTCCGATGCAAATGGTAAAACTTCCAAGAGGTTTTGATGGGAAGTCCCTTTGCTAAGACATGATTGCATTTGACAACTTTGAACAGAAGCTTTGGAGACACTTTCTCTGAAACAAGGTTTAGATCTGTAATGTAACAGAGGCAGGGAATCCAGGATGCTAGTTACATATTGACACTTGTCCATGTTAATACACAGAGGATCCCATTAACACAGGTTACTCTATGGTTCTCTAAAGCAAACAAACTGTTCAGGAGTTATGACTTATTTAAAAATCAGAAGTAATAAACCTTTGAAATTCACATCTAAACTTGTCCTCATATAAACCCAAGGCTTTCAGGTCCTACATAGCACTTAGGCAATCACTGCAAAACCATATCCTTCCTGCATCCTTCCTCAATCAGCAACCTCTTTTTCAAGCATATCGTGTGACTGGGTATCTTTCCAAAAGGCATGGTGGGAACAGAGGAAGTGATAGCTGAACTTGCAATATAAATTCAAATTATAACAGTCCTTGTGAGTGTGTGTATGTGTGTTGCCTGTGAAAAAAAGGGCTTATCTGAACAATGCCATAAATAATCGCAGAGGTCATCTCATGCCCTATGAGAAATGCAGAATGCAACAATGCAGAGAAGCTGGTGAGGGAGGGAAGGTGAGTGCATTGTTCATACTGAATGGCAGCACAGCCTTTATCATGCTCAATATTTACCTTGCTTTATTTTTGGAAGCCAGAGTTCAAGGAATAAATTACCAGCTAGCTTAAAATCAATAATACCTCTTTGAAAAACATCACTGACCTGCTGAGATGACCACTCCTCTTATGGGTAAAACAAACTTGTGTCATTCTTTGCAGCCAACTACTGTGGACTTCTCCAGCAAAAATTTGTAAATTTGTGATTTATGTGATTTCCCTAGTTCCTTCAGACAAAAAAAAAAAAGTTCACTGCCTACTTCAGTAATTGCAAGCGGCATGACCAATATTGCTTTCATTATGTGATGTAGCATTGAGGATATTGAAGAAAGAAGTGAAAAACTTAAAATATTATAAAATTGAAATGTACATAAACAGGAGCTGGTTTAAAGGATCATGTTTCCTACAAAGCCTTCAACTCTGAAAAGCAACATTGTTCAAAAAAGCATTAAGTACATGCTCCATCCCCTCAAACTCCCAAGGACTGCTGCATACGCTTCAAAATAAGCTCATGCTCAAGTGCTCCCCTACTACTACCTGATGGCATTGTAGAGAGGTGGAGGATGTCTGTCCTGCCATGGCTGCAGAGAGAGGACTAGAGGGAATGGTCATAAGCTGAGACAGGGCAGAGTCAGATTGGATGTTAGAATAAATATTTTCCCTGATAGGTTGGTCAGGGACTGGAATATTGCCCAGTGAGGTGGTGGAGTCACCATCTCTGGAATTGTTTGAGGTGTCTGAATCTGGCACTGGAGGATATGATTTAGGGGTTCCAGCAGTGGCAGGTTAATGGTTGGACTTGATGATCTTAGAGGTTTCCTCCAACCTTGATGATTCTATAATTCTACTTTGGGGCAGCAGAATGAAAAGTAGAAGTCAAGGGACAAAAACTGACCTGCATGTTAAAACCAAAATAATTCTTTCCTTCCTTCCTCTTGCCCCAAACATTCGGGATAGAGACTTTAAAAGTAACAATGTAATGGTCTTATTTGCATGGCACATATTTCTAGAAAAAGTAATATAACAGATGTTAATTTAGTGAGTGACCAAGATAATCTCCAAGTAATTCTAGAGATGTAGATGGCAACTAACTCTCAAGATGACATTGGATTTTCTCCCCCTTCCCACGTTTGCACTGAGACAGACTGCAAATGCAAATACACCCTGCATACAAGAAGGATGTGGGTG